TACTGCAATTTTCTATGTTTACTTAGAGTTATTTTACAGATCTACTTAGTTTGAATGATGGTACACTTGGTAGTTTGGTAGAGGGTCGAGGAGTGCTTCTAAATTGATATGGAAGCTCAAAATTATTTTATCCTCCCATTATTTCCTAGCATACAGAGAAAATTGTACTGAGAAAATGATAGTTGAAGACGTATCCAAAAGTCGGCGAATGAATTAATAGTTGACACATGCATGCTATATATATTCATTTGGGAAAAAAGTAATCACTCATCTCCAAAGTTTCCTTTCCTCCCAACTATAAACACTCATCTACCATTTCCCTCTATATGAACCTCTTTTTTTTTTTTTTTTTTTTTTCCTCTCTCTCTCAATTCTCACCAACCCGAAAAGAGAATGCCGGCTGAGAAGAAAGGAAAAACAATGGAGCTAAAAAGGGGAATAATTTTTTTTCTTTTTGTTTATGAAGATAACCAATATAACTATTAAAATTTAATACTTAATTAGTCTAAATGTTTACCAATTTAGATCTTAAGTTCAAGTTGTTTTAAATTATAAAGTTTAATAGTTGATTGTTCTAATATAATAATTTCAGAAATTTATATATAAATCAGGTCAATGGGTAGCCGAATCATACAAGTAAGAAATAATGGTGAATTTTGCATCGCATCTTGTGTCTAGGATATTATGGAATGTATATTCTAGTGTCAGTCTATTCTGATTTAATTTTGTAATTTCCTGAGTATTTAGAATAGTATGTCGGCCGACCGGATAGAAACAGAACTTTGGAAGAAAAATGTGTTAATTGGTTCTGTTTGGGAAGGAAGAAACCATGAAAAAGTATTTCAAGAGATTTGGGGTTAAAAAGCAATAATATCAACCTAAAATTGAAAAATCGCAAAATTGACTAAACGGATACAAAAGAGGAACAAATCAGAAAATATTTTGAACAGGGATGAAATCACTAATAAACTAGTTTAAAACCATTTGTAAAAAACATTAATTAAATAAATAAAAAGATTAGGTACATAGCACAAACTAGTTTTTTCTTGCGACTATGACAAAACCATGAGTATTGGCAAATATTCTCTCGATTCCAAAAAAAATATATCATTCTACAATTTACACAGAGTTTAAAAAACACTTAAATATGGCAGCTAAATTACTAAATGTCCTCAACCCCGTTAAAATAAATACTGATCACTGATACTATTTCTTTTGATAGTATGTCTAAAAATTTTGGACAAAAAATGCATTAGAATCAGAAAACGACACTTATATTTTGAAATTTCTCAATTTCACTAGAATGACATTTATTTTAGAATGGAGGGAGTATCAAATAATAGGGAATGACAAGTGACTAATCTATATATTCTTATATATTAAAGGAGAGTTTTCAATCGACACGTATCGTTCAATTAGATAGTTCAGATTTCAAAACTATTTTTGCCACATTTCAAGTTCAGAGTCTTTTTTGACACATGTCAACATCATAGATCTCCTTCCATTAAAGTGTTAATATTTTTTGTAAATTGATTATTTTAATTTACATTTCACCCATCATTATTACATTTCACATATAAATACATATATATATATATATTTGATTATATACTTAATTAATAATAGAAACCCTATCCTTTTTCACTATTAATTATTTTAGCTCTTTTTATTGGTTACTAAGAATGATTTTTCACATATTTTTAAATCAAGTTCATTGTGGTGAATTTTTTGAAAAAAATAACAAAAAAAACTTATTTCAGACAATGAAAAACCATCAAGTATGTATAAAATGTAATATTTTTTTTCCAAAATATAACAGAAAAATACTACTAAAGAGACGTCGTATAAAATTTATTTGAAACACAAGACTAGTACCACTTGAGAGATGATAAAGAAAAAGAATTTACATTCAAAAAGTTTTCCTATGTGCTCAATCATCACAAAACAGATTTAGCGTAACCCACTCAACCAGCCTTCTCCCTTCAAATCTAACCTAAGGAATGTAGTGAAAATCTAATTCATCAAAATCCTGTCAATACTCTCCAAACGATCCACAATAAGCTACTACTAGTATTAGTTTAACTCTGCAATCTGCAATAGAAACAACCTATAAAGTATCATGAAGATGAGCCTGCTCTAAGGCCTGGCGCTGTCTTTCGAGAAAATCTGATACGGTAACTCTGAATTCAAATGCAAAAGGGACGCAAGTTGTATCATTGTTGGGTACGGGAAAAAAACTAAGAATCTATGGCGTCATACACAAACAAGATCGATCTCCCAACAAAGATGAAAGCATACGCCACAACCCGGTATTTGTCAATCTTTGTCACCTGTGTTCTCCACCGTCCATCGGCATAACACATATACCACTAGCAACGTCAAGAATGATGATAGCCACCCAAATGGTGTAAACATAGCTAGACTATGAGTCGCATATGATAGCCTGAATCACAAAAATGTCTGCAATGCCACCAAGAAAAAAACAACAAAAAATCCACCCGTGATCCCCACAACCCACTGAATCCCAAAGCTCTCAATCACACAACCACCCAACTCAGAGATAAAGGGAATAAAAGAAAGATAAAAAATGACAACCCTATGACCATACAATGCAAAAATAAATATCACAAATCTCGCAAGAAATATGATCGAAAAAGAAAAACCCCCTTAATCCCTTAACTGGGGTTGTGGTCATCTCCAAAAACCAGCCAAAAGCACCAAAATAAAGGCGCAAACTCCTAAAACAAAGCTCGTAGCTACCAGTCTCACAAAGCAGGGATGGAGTGAAGAGATTACGCCGTAAAAGGTTTAATCATGCTTTCCTCCTCAAATAGAGGTTTGTCGCTTTCATCAAGTTTGGAAAAAAATAATTCCTTCCAACCAAAGAAAAGAAAAGAGAGAGAGAAAGAGAATTCCTTGGTGGTTAAACAAATATCAACTATCACGATATTTTGCACTATAGGATTGTTTACTACTCTTCGGTTTTATTTTACTAGTTCATTTACTAAACTAATAAATTATAGGGTAACAAAAAGGAATGGTACTAAATGAGGCGGGGCTTTCTTCTTTCTCCAAGGAAAAAAAAAGAAAAACTTTGTTTTTCGAGCATCTTTGTTTCTGGTATAACATAGCTTTCTCCAGTTGAGAAAGAATCATGGTTAAACCTTGCAATTGATTCATTTTTCTTTTGCTAATAATGTTCACCAGTAAACTTTCACATTCTTTTGTGACAAATTTATGAACATCCTGTATTCCTGTGCTGGTGTTGTAATTTGCTCATCAATTCCAATAGGTAAACCAACTTGTTCAAAGTTTAATTAAATATAAATAATCTTAACACTAAAAAGGTGACAATGAAAAATTAACCCTGAAGATTACATTGTGAAGCAATCATGAAATTAACACGAACTTCATTTACCGTTTTTGTTATTTCTGTTTATTGTACAAGAAAGGAAAAGAGAAACATGAAACAAAAAAAGTGCTTTCTACTCATTTATTGGTAGTTTTACTTATGCCTCAAGAAAAAAAAAAGTATTACTCTAGAAATCATTACGGATGATGGAAGGGTTTAAAGAGAAAAAATATTTTTGTTCATGTCGCGGTCAATCAAAACGATTTCTTTGGGGTTTTTTTTTCCTTCAAAAACTAACACAATAATTAAGAGAAAACTTAATGCTAACCTGCAATTAATCCCACGACCAGGAAAGAGAATGAAAAAATCCTCCGGTCCTTAATACAAGGCATTTTGATTTATCCTAGATTTTACATATTACGCATTTTTTAAGATTTTTTTGTCAATTAAAAATGTGTATTAAGTGAAATGTAAGATAAATCAAAATGTTTTATAATAAGGACCGGAGGGAGTACAACTTTCCAACTACAAACAAATAACTTTCGTCTTCTCTGTCTCATTCTTAATAGTCCATAAACTTTTTATCCGTCTATCCTGGTGCAAAATCAGTCAACAACTTTCTTCTGTTTGCAAGCCCTATGACATAACTTTGCCCTAAAAATGTTCATAAAATGTTGCTTCAAAATTGATGTGTGTCTTTTTTGTTAAAGCTTTAATTTCATTACCAGATAAACAATTACGTACAGACCGTTCAAACATTTGGAGGAATCTAAATTACAACAGAAAAAAGCAGAGAACACTATGATGCATGCTATTTTCTATTGACTATCCATGGACTAAGACTGAGTCTATTACACCACAATATAACTTTCTGAGAGTTAGGAATCCTTTCTAGCGACGCGAATTTTTGAGGATTGCAGATCGCAAAAATTAGTAACATAATTGTTTCTTGTAACTGACAACACTCGAGAACTCAAGAAAATTATGTCTCCAAACGGCCTAATGCAAGGAAGGGCATGGGCATTGATGGAAATTTACTACAGTAACCTTCCCCTAATTTTTTTATTTTTCCAATCAGAACTATGTATGTTAGCGTCATTCTTTCATTAGGTACTTCTTTCAATAATTCTATCTTCTGGTTTGGTAAAACCATCAAGTTTTTGTTTTATTTAAAAAGATTCTTTCAATAATTCTATCTTCTGGTTTGGTAAAACCATCAAGTTTTTGTTTTATTTAAAAAGATCATTTGACTGGTAATCCACGAGTTGAGCGTGATAGCTAGGAGAACTAGTTAGTTTATTAGCTTGTGCGAGTTGAACAATACATAACACTAAAAGATGATAAGGCTCCACAATATCGGTAAAAGAATGGTTTTAGCCATAAGAAGAGGATCGTTGGTTGTGTATTTCCATAAGAAGAGAATGGTTTTGACTTTTGAACCGTCTTACAACTAACTATATTACACCTCGTCAACTGGAGAGATTAAAGGTTAATCATTAATGAAAATCATTCATGATTTGGAATTTTAGATATGAAAAATAAATTGAGACATGTATACAATAGTTTCTCACATACGCCTTAATTGACGAGTGAAAAAAAGGTAGACTAAATTGATTCCCTTTGGGGCATCAGTTATTCTTCTTTCTCTAAATTGTCTAATATTTACATGAAGAAGAGGCACATGATCAATGAACTAACTAATTAATTTACGAATTACATGAAGAACCTAATTTATAACCTCATGAATCATTGATGTTTATGACAATGGAATCCACCGAGCCGTTCTGATCAGATTGATCGGTCTTCTCCTCTTGGACAGATTTTGAACTCCTCCGAGTCATCAACTTCCAGAGATGACATATTTGTTCATACCAACCGCAAACAATGTAAGCATCCAACTCTCTCATAAAAAGAAGATGGTAGCCAACAAACCACATCGAAAGCCCGATCTGACCTCCCACAGCGCCATAGAACACACCATTATTTCGTTGAAATTCATGCAGATCCTCCGGACTAACGAATTCGAGACGACGAATCTTGTCGAGGGTACGGCCTACACCGGCTAGGTAATATATCATAGGAGCTAGCACTGTGGCAGTTAGTAATACCATAACCGAACCGAACCAATATAACGCGATGTCGCCGTTTCCTAGATCCTCCTCCGCCTCCGGCACCGCCGTTACCGTGTTGCTGTTAGGGTTAATCTTCTTCTGGGTTGGTTTCTTCTGATCTCCATAGTCGTCAGTGAAATTGATTAGGTTCGATGTCGCACTGAGGCGTAAAAGAGTAACAAAACCGTGACAAAAATCCCAATGAAGTAGCCGAGTCCCAAGTACGTGTGGTATAAATTGTTCATCCTTTGATATCCAACATTAATCTCGCCTTTGCTGTTGATCAACTGATGATGATGATTCAATCCCCCAAGGTAATATATCACCAGAGGTGGGACGATCCCAAAGCAAACCGATAGCACGATTAGACCTACCCAATGCATCCAGTGATCCACTGAGGTTATTTTCTTCACAAAACCCTCATGATGATCCGCCGCCATTGTTTTTTTTTTTTTTGTGTTTGTTTTAATATACTAATAGGACACTTATTTTGGAATGAAGGAAGCAAAAGATTTTAATCCCTTTTTCAACTTAAGATTTTTCTTTTTTTTTTGTTGTTCAGAAAGAGAGCTAACTACCGCTAATATTATAATTCATGGGGTTGGGTGGGGGATAAGAGCAAAAAAGGAAAACAAAATCCATAATAAAGTAGATAATAACGTAATAAAGAAACGCGATGATTTACTAATACTAGTGGAAATTGGATCCTAGCGTATGGCCTATATAAGGGGAGTCATAATCATCCTAGCCGGACTCAAACACCACAAAAAAAAAAAACTTTCGGGAGTTCCCAGGTTTGTAAGAATCTCGGTAACATCGAAAGCTACGGTATCCTTCTTAAATCTCATCACGATCGAACCAAACACAAAAACAATAATGGAGGAGGGCTTCAGCACGAACAAACAAAAAATTATGGCGGAAAAGATGAACAAGGTGGAGGATTTTGTCAAGAAAATAACGGCATGGGATCACTGGACGCATTGGGTAGGTTCAATTGCGATATCTGTTTGTGTTTGCATCGGACCACCTCTTCTGGTATATTACGGTGGGGGATTGAATCACTACCAAATTATTAACACCAAAGGATACATTAATCCCCGATTTCAAACACTGAACAACATATTCTACACTTTTTTGGGACATGGAATCTCAGTTGGTGCTGCGCTGGTGATTTTGTGGATTGCTAACCTCGTGTTCCTTATAGAGATGCGGCTACACCGAAACCCGACGCCCCTGGCGATCCCGACGGTCGACGGAACTGGCGGGACCAATGTCGTCAAGAAACTTAATCCATCACGCGAATTGGCCTTATTGTGCTTCTTTGGGATCTTCTTAGGTTGTGTTGCTATATCTCCAGCTCTTTGGATATATTACAGTGATGGTATGGGGCATACACTTGAAAAGATTCATCGTCACGAGTTCATTAGTCCGGAAGATATGCGTAATTTTCAAGGGGCGAATAGTAGGTTTTATTACTCCGTGGGATTCGGGATCTTCGGGGTGACGTTGATGGTTTGTGTTGAGGGGGTGATTATTTACATCCTTCGCGGCGTTTGGCATGAAGAAGAAATAAGTCATCTTCCCAAGGGCGTTCCGACTCAGAGTTCAAAATCATCCACAGGCTCGCAGGGTACGTTTGTCATAGACATAATGGAGGTCAATTAATTAGTTGGAAAAAAGTCTCTATTTTGCATGAACGTACTACAAGATGACATAGCTCATGTAATTCTTTCTTCAGTTAGTTCTTTGAGTGTTTGGGTTTTTTCTTCATGTAAACTTAATATGGTCCTTACCATAATTGATGAAAAACAATTTAGTAAATTATTACAACTATTGATTATGTCTCTCAATTAATTTGTCATGTCTAAGATTCCAAACTATTCGATCATGAGCATTTAATGATGTCTTGCCATAGACCAGTGAAAATACAAAACTAATGAACCTCTTTTTATGGCTAAGCATTCTCTTACTTTTGTTGCGAAAACATTCAAATTTTAAGGCTCGTTATCTTGAAGTGTAATGATAATATTACACTACATGCCTCACTATTTTTCCTACCATGCCCAATTGATGGCTTACCAGTCAATGACCGTTTTAATCTACACAAAAAGTTGATGATTTTACCAAACCAAAAATCGACATGAAAGAAAAACCAAAAATAGGTTCCGCGGATTAATACACGGAAGAAAATTCGGTCGATTTGTCCATGAGTTTCGATGCAGTCATACACTACCTAGGGACAAGACATTATTTTCCATTGTTTAGAGCATTTAAAGGGATTGTTTACTATCTTCAAAAAAAGGAGGGGGGGGAGGGTGTTATGTTTTTCGACAGAGTAGAATTGGAGTTCTTATTTTGAGACCGACGTGATTTGGGGTTAAGAGTCTCGACAGTAACTGAATTTGACTAAGATTAACTGTAAGGAGGAGTTAGCTTTGGGTTAATTCGGACTAAAGCTAAAAAGGTTGTAGTCGGCGGGGTAAGAAAATCTAAATTTCCAAATTCTAAAAATTTTAAATAAGAAGTTAATTTTAGAATATTTTAATAAATTTTTATTGATATTTAACATAGTTGGCGATGCTTGATTTTACACCGCCGATTTAGTAGTGAAACTCCGGCTAGGGTTTCCTGCAAAAGAGACTCGGGGTCTCTCGAGGGTAGACACTCCGATCCTTAAGTTAGAAAAGGGTTTAAAGAACGTATGCGTATTTAGAGCTAAAGATTGCGTACCCGTATTGTGGTGTGCTCAACCCTATTTATAGGCATGAGAATACCTGGGAGGTCTTCGAGTCCTATTAGGTTTATGCAACCTAAACCGCCCTAGGAGAGTCGGTTGGACTCCTTTCTCGGTTAATGGGCCGGTCCAGTTTCGACGATGGATATGAACTCGTCAATAGTTTTTTTTTGTTTATTGTGCTATCCGAAATCATTGCTCTAATTAATCTACACTAGCGTTGTGCCCGTACGTTGTGCAGGTGATATTAGTTTTAATATAAAAATTAAATAAAAATATGCACAATTTAATTACTAATTAGGAGACCCTCTAAGCATTAAAGTACAAAATAGTTTATTTTATGGAGGTTAACACTTTTATGATAACTACTAATGTTGATTAGATTTTTTCAAAGCACAATTTGCCTTTAAAAAGGAAGAAAGCATACTGATTTTCCCTCGTAGGTGCCTTTAAAATAATTTTTGTATATTGTATTACTTCAATGAAGTCCAATATATAAACACATAAGGGCTGTTGTTTGCAACATGCAATTACAATTGTGCGAAATAAAGAGCTACGAAATGGACACCAAAGTGCTACTTAATTACTCCAAGAATTGAGTGATAAAAATTGCTAATTTCTTCCTAATTTTAATTTATAATGTCATTGAAAATAAATAAAATCAACACCAAATTGGAATAGAATGTGCTAGAGTCTACTTTTTAAATAATAGAAAAGAATATCCTCGTTGATGCGACATCCAACCTTTTCCATAGCTAGGTGGCCGTTGTTTCAGGAAGTTCTAAGAGTCTGTTTTAATATGTTTAGCAAATACCAATAACATATAGTTGTTTATTTATAGCGGTCAACTCGTGTCTGAAAAAAAAAATACACATATACAATCAAGCATCCAAATATCGGTAAAAGACCTAAGCAGTAAGCACTACCCCGTCCAGTGCATACAAAACAAAGGAAAAGAACAACATTAAAAAATTACTATCAAACTTCAATATTAATTTAAGTATTCAAAGAAACGCAATCGCATCTATATATTATATTAAAGCAAAATAAGTTTGTGGAAAAAAGTACACGTGTCAAGCTCCTATTAACACATTTCTCGTCAAAAAGTTTTTAGTATAAAAATCTTCAACGCATTAATTTTATTTTGGACTTTTTAATTTTGATTTGGATAAATTAAGAAAGTATCAAAAATTATTACTCATTTATTCTTGATTTGAGAGAGATTTGAAAGATTTTTTGGAATCAATTTCAAAATAATTAGTGAATGATATTATGATTGAATGTGGACGCTTTTTCCTTACATATTCGATTTTTTTAAAAAAAGAAATGATTACAAATTATTGATTATACATTTATTAATTGATTTAAAATAAACATGTTAGGACTACTATTTAAACCCCCCTCCTATATACACCTGTCCGCAATCGTTCTTCTCATTCTGTGCTTAATATAACTTCGAATTATATTTCATGAAATTTACTTCTTTTTTTTTTTTTTGCGCCCTCTATGTTTCAATATCGTTCTTTTAATTTATTTATTTTTTGTCTTAGTCGAAGTCGATACAAATGGCCACCGAATACCATCGGTATGACTACTAATTCTTTTTTTTCTATTGTGTAAACTTTTCCAAAACATGACTTTCAAAATCTAATTTGCGAGTTATGTTCACTTGTGTAAATTATATCAAAACATGGTTTGCAAAATATAAATTGCAAGCTATATTTAAATTGTTTTTAATTCTCTCAAAACATGACTTGCAAAATCTAATTTGTAAGTTATGTTCACTTGTGTAAATTATATCAAAATATGGCTTGCAAAATATAATTTGCAAGTTATGTTTAAATTATGTAAATTCTCCCAAAACGTGACTTGCAAAATCTAATTTGCAAGTTATGTTCACTTGTATAAATTAGTATCAAAACATGGCTTGTAAAACATAATTTGCAAGTTATGTTTAAATTGTGTAAATTCCCCCAAAATGTGAATTGCAATTTAATTTGCAAGTTATGTTCACTTGTGTAAATTATCTCAAAACATGGCTTGCAACATATGATTTGTAAGTTATATTTATACCGCGTAAATTTTCCCAAAACGTGACTTGCAAAAACTAATTTGCATGTTATGTTTACTTTTTTTATAAATTAAAATTAACTCTATTCCAATACATGGTTTGCTAGACAATAGCAAATTATGTTCATATAATGTCCTACTTTTACAATTATTTGTAATTCTAACAATTTTTATGAAGCACACCTTTTACTATATTTATTTTTATACATGGCTTTGAAAAACTAAATTGCATCCGTTCTGTTCGATTTTGTAATTTTTCAAACAAAAACTTTGTTCTTGGTTGAATGATATATTCTAATTTCTAAGTTATGTTCATTTACAATGTTTATATCTTTTCAATTATTAATATTTGTTTGTACTTGTCTGCATTTATATCAACACACCTTGCTAATATATTTTATTTTTGTTTAGTCATTAACAAACAGTGTTATAATATATGATTCACCCATGGCTCTGATTAAGTCATTCGTAACCGACATTAAGGCAAAGGGGAAGTTCTACCTATTACGGTGCGTTTGATGAGGGTTTTGCAACAGTCCGACTATAATACCATCGAAATGGTATTTGTTGATTCTAAGGTATATAGAATACTAACTCTGACATAAATAACCCCATCATATATTTTATGCTAAATTTTATTTATTTATTTTGCGCATTAGGTTAATTATTGATGATGTTTTCTTTTTAATTTTATTTTTTATTTTTTACTTTTATAGGGTTCTAAAATACAAGGTACGGTGAAACAATCATTGCTCGACATGTTTACCAGCTTCTGGATAATGAAGGGGAGACTATGACTGTATCAAACTACGGTGTTGCTGGTAATTATGGCAGGTATAGAAATGCCAAACACCAGTGTAAAATTATCTTTTACCGGAACACGACCCTAAATTTGATTGATGAACCTGATATCCCAAAGATGTTGTTTGATTTTATGTCCTTTGCTGATATCAATACGACAACATAATAGGTAAACCAAATCTTCAAACTCTATTAATATTTTTGGAAGCAAATATTATTGGTGCAGTGAAAGCTATTGGTGATATTATATTGAGGACCCTAACACGGGAAGAAAAGGATCTTCGTCGAACTTGAGGATTTGAAGTAAAATTAGCTATTGAAATTTTATTTTTAAATCTTAATTATAGTTATGAATTGCATTCGATATCTATGACTTTAGACCATGGGTTACATGCTGGAGATATAGTTTTTATTCCACGTTTGGCAAGTACGCCGTCAGACAAGAGACTCCCATTCAAGATGAGAAGAAAACAATTTCCATTGGCCGTTTACTTTGCCAAGATGATCAATAAGAGCTAGAGGCAATCTCTTTCGCATGTAGACCTTTTTTTGCCTCAATCGGTTTTTAGTCATGGCCAGCTCTATGTTACTTTTTCAAGAGTCACATCCAAGAGAGTGTTAAAAGTATTTATAGTTGATGAAGAGGGTGACATGAGTAAGTTGCACAACTAATGTGGTATTTAAAAAAGCACTTCACGACCTTTGATTAATTTACTTTTTTATTTGTCTTGCCAACATTACTCAATAATGTTTACAATAAACTCTCAATAAATTTTCTACTATTTCTTTCCCTTTTTTATAGCAATATAATATAAATTATGCTTGCAAAGTCCACCCGTGCTTGGCACGGGTCCTGTAACTAGTAAAAATATTACATTATCATGCCGTTCTCTCTCTTTGCAAATAGGAAAAAAAAATCCCAAGTAAATTAGCACCTATAAATTAAGTATATTAATCAGGAGTGCTAAAAACTAACCAAAATTACCATTATTGTCCGGAAAAAATAAGAGATCATTATTGAGCATGAGTTCCCACACCGTTCTTATAAGAAACATTTTTTCCTTTCCTCCGGCATTATCATTCTAAGAACCCAATTAATTACATCATTTTCAACTCCAAATCCATCCAATTAATGGTGGTAGAACACCATTGTCCTCCTAGGCCAACAACAGGGATCCAAATTACACA